GAATTCTTAACAAGGCATCAGAAAATCCAAGAGATCATTTGAAATAGACAGTTATCTCAATAAAATAGGTAAAGCCCTTAAGACTTAGAGAAAACTGGTTAATTTTAAGATACAGTTTATGTCAGAGCTGTTCTATAACTTCATGGTGATGGGCTTAGAATTTTTATGAGAAGATGCAATTAACCGTAAACTATATGTAGTAATACATTTGTGTGAAACTATGCAAAATGAGAAAAATAAGACTACCATTAAATAAGAAAGCATTAAAAACTGACTGAAGTTCAATAGCCAGGAAATAGTTCCAGAGACTGAACTGGCTGCTTTTTTTTAAAAAAGGACAAAAGAGAAAACTAGAAAATCTCTTACAATAATGCTGAAGGCATTTGTATTTAAATACACAAATACAAAGCCACATCAAAATCCTGGCTAGTATTTACTGGTAGAATAAAAAATATAATCTACATCAAAGATACTAAGGGAAGATCAGACATCCTTCTAGAAAGAGGTGTTACATTAAGGGGAAGAAAAGATCAATATAAAGAATGAAGTAACTAATATGATAACATCAAAAGGAAACGGCTGGACTGTGATCACTTCCAGATACATCCCACCAGAAGCAAACATAATTTCCAGTAAAAGATATCTCAATGGTACCAAACTCTACTATAAAAAAGTTTTCATTACTATAAAGTCAAGCAAATGAAAACACAAAGTAGTATAAAAATATTATCCCACTAATCAACAGGAGAAAAAAAGATTTAATAGAACAATATTCTCATCATTCATCCAGGAAGGGAAATTCCTTAAAAGAATATTTTAATGGCTTACAAAACTCATTATTTTTGGAAAAATAACTAAAAGATTTGCATTCAATAATGATCATCATCAGTTAAATAACTTCCACCTGTATATTTTCTTAAGTGAAAGACAGAAGAATTGATTGGTTTCTGTATCCACAAAATAACTATATAGAATGGACCTGGCCAACTGAAATGACATGCATATATCACAATTACTGGACTAGCCACTAACATTAAGAATGGTAAATTTCAAAAGCCAAGGAAACCTAAAACAGTGCAAGTCTGGGGCAAAATATGCCTCACATTAAAAAAAAAAAAAGTTTTCAGTTATTGCAATTTTTAAACTATTTCTACAAAGATCTAGTCCATAATTTCTAACCTTCATCAGAATCCCACTAAATTATATCCTCAACAGTGAATGTGGCATTTAACTCTGTTCATCCATGGCATTTAACTCTATCCAATTTTGTAGCTAGAAGGGATTCTGGATTGTGTCTCTTCCAACCTCCTCATTTTTAGTACCTGAGAGGTTATCCTGATGTACTGGGCCCTTAAGGACATTATCAATCAGGTCACTTAGGTATCATTCAGTAAATTATTAGTATAGTACTAACGTAATATACTAAATAGTATCCAAGTATCCCAAAAGAGTTTATGTTCCCCTCAAAATGTCATTTTAAGGGCCAAGTAATTAAAATGAAATTATAAAGAAGCTGCCACGCAGTTAAAAAAAAAAAAAAGTTTAAATGCAATTACACTAATAAGGAAGCTGTCACTAAAAAGAAAAGATAAACTGTCAGCAAATTTACTGCTTTTCCTAATGTCCTTGTTTCTTCTTACCAAGTAAACACATCCACTTAACAAATATAAGTTGTGCTACCATGGCTTAGAACAAGGTCAGTCTGAGACAAATGACTCAATCAGAAAACCTAGAACCTGCAGATAGAAAAAACAAAGCTGCCTTAATGCTCAGAAACTGAGCCAATCCCTAATAACTAAAAAGAACTACTGTGAAGTTATTTAAATAAAGGGGGAGGGTCATACTCTACAACCTTCTGAAATGGATTAACAGTGCTATAAAGAAAACAAATTAACATTCAGAAGGAGAGTACATTTAGATAGTGCAATTGTACAGATGATGAATAAACTACAAGATTAAAAAAATCACTATACAGAACTCATAAATATAAGCAACATATGCAAGACATCAAAATGTTAAGTTTTAAACAATAGGGTGAAATTTAAAAAGGCACTTCATATAACAAATGGAAACAATTTCTCTGTACACAGAAACCGCAAGAAATCATAGTCTTCACATATATTTTAAGTCTAGTGGAGAAATAACACTTTGAAGAAAAAGGATCATTAGACGCATCCCCACTGAGAATATCAAATCATTAAATTTGCAATTATCCCAAAGCGTCCCAGAAAATCTAGAGATATTTAAACATCTAAGGTTCGCCCAATGGAGAATTCTATGGCAGGCACAATATGAAAACTTACATAATTTTGAGTTCCATATGCTTTTGGGGTTGTCTCCCTACATCAGGGCCCCATTTTTAGTTTTATAACACCACCACCATTCAAGTATGCCAGAGAAAGATTTTAAAGTAAACAAACAGGTTAAGAATGTTTCTTCTGCAATCAAGAGACCGATTATCTATAGTTAAAAGCTCTTCCCATTCTAACGCATTCTGACAGTCCCGACTGAACTGACAAATCCCCTTCAGAAGTTATCTACGGATCAACAATTTGATGATTCCTCAATACCTCTCCACTTTTAGAAAAATTCTCTGGAGATGCTTGAGTTTATCAATCAGAGAATGGTAATGTTACTTTTTAACACTGAGCAACACAAATAACATAAGAGGAAGAGAACAGCAATGCTGTTTTATAAATATTTAAGGAGGAGCTATACAATGTAAATACAGCTTATACTAGTGAACCGTACACTTAAAAATGTTTAAGGTGGTGAATTTTGTTCTTTTTTCTGACCACAATTAAAAACAAAAAAATCTAAAAGGAGGAGCGTATTAAGTGGAAATGCCAAAGTAGTTTCAAAGAATTATGTCTTCAAGCATCATTTTGGTTTGGATTTTGGAAAGTAAGAGTACCTCAAAAATCATCACATTTGTAACCCCAGTATCCAATTCAGGGAAAGAAAGGGGAGAAATGGAAAAGTGGGAACAGTCTGAAGTAGCCTTAGCTAACTGGGTATAACTGTGCAGCCACATAGAGCAGTTCCAAGGTCTCTCTCCAGTAAGTTCATCTGTGACTAGTCCTTTCATAAAAGAAACTACAGTGCCATGTCAAGGGCACATGAGACTGCCTGACGGATGCAATATATACTGTCAACTATAAAAATCTAAATGATTTTTTTAGACCCTTGTTTCTTTTCAGGTAGTTAATAATCTTCTGGAGTTTAATATGAAAGAGTTTCTACATCACTGGCACGGACCTAAAAAAGGTAGAAGTAAAACACTGTGGAAAATATACAAAAATAAAGGTAAATGTTTGCAAGATGATATCCTCTATCAAGCCTGTTTTTTAGGCTTAATTTACAAATAGGACCAACACAGTACTCTGAAATTACTGACAAAATAAAATAGCTTCTTCTAAGTAGGTATGTTTACATCTTCAACCTCTAACACAAATAGGGAGAGGAAGAAAATAGTAAAAAGGGTGCTGAAGATAGTTACAGTGGAAGGGGAATGAGCTTCAACCATCAAAAAGTGGGGCACTAGGGAAAATGTCAATCACCACTTGCGTAAGAACTATGGCAAGAAATAGAAACCACATGAATCCTAAAACAGTGTTATATTCCATTAACAGTAGAATCAAAATATTTTGATCAAGCAGATGAAATAAATGCAGATGTATGACAAACCAAGTTACAAAATTTTATATCTGTTGATAAAAAAATTTTTTTGGCTGCTAAGCAAATAATACTAGGTGATGTATTCAGACCCCTCAAACTTGACACTCTCCATTTCTGAAGTCATGCTGCAAAATCGAGGATCTAAGGGTTGGTATACTGCACAGCCACTGCCTTGAGATTTTAAAAAGATACTGTGAGATATACAATTGAGGTATCTGCTGCCAGTTCCAGAACTGTGAAGAACTATTAATGGAACCAACTGGGAGCAAAATGATAGTCGTCTCTACTGATGAGTCCGACTAGATTAAGGGACCAGCAAACGAAGAACATGTCATTGAAGTCTTGATTTCAGACTTTTAAGAAATCTCTAATGGATATCGTCATTTAAATAAATATGCAGAAACAGAGCTGTGTGAGATGTTCTCTTTACGACATCCACAGTAATACTGAACGCTTAAGAATTCTTAGTATCATCTAGTTTGATGGCATCCCTCTTTATTGCAACAAGAGGACCAGACTGTCAGGCATGTTTGAAATTCTCTTAAAAGAGTTCAGATTTGCATGCCTGGATGGTATAACATCCTTTATATCCAGGGCACTAATGTATGTATCTTTTTTGTGATGGATTACCAAGCTCAAGAAAGTCAACTATTTAGAAGGTAGCTTTGTTTAAGAAGGTAATCTTGCTGAAAAGCCCAGAATATCTTGAGAGAACACCATGCCTCGGTCTCACATCTTCTTTATATCTGAGAGCTTGACAGGTCAGAGACTTAGGTGTGATGATAAAGAATTCTCTCACATGTAGCTCTGAATGGTAATGACACGGCAGCCATCAGTCTCGATAAAGATAGTTACTGTGAAAATTTCTAGAGATGTTACAGGCAGGAAAGTCTTTTTCCGGTTGGTGTCCACAGTAGACCTGTAACATGTAGCCATTCCACTGAAACGAACTGGATTTGGCAAAATTTGATTTGTATTCCAGTTCTTGACATACAGCTTCATGATTGATTCTTAAGTCTGAGAGAGCTTGAGAGTAGTATGGACTCTTGGTAAATTGATCATCCCGACATAAACACAGTACAATTGAATTGTCATTTTGTGAAGATCTGACAAGCTGAAGCCTGAACAAGGAAGCATTGATGACTTAAAATTAAGGATCTAACAGTAGGTTATTTCCAGACCCCAAATCAGCTAGTCCTCAGTTTATCAGTAGGATTTTCCTGAGGCACAGATCTTTATATTTTTCTTTACTCACAAGAGGATTCAGATTCCTGAGTACCCTCATCTGAACTTATTTTGGACCAGAAATAATAGGTAAACCTTTGTCCAACCCTACGTAGGTGAAAGTCTCTATTGCTCACTTGGTCAGTAAGACATGAGTCTCTTTATTATATACTCCATTTGAAAAGTCTAGAATTTAAATGTTAGCTGTGATAATTCCAGCTGTGATAATTCCTACCTGCAGATGCTGTACGAGTGGGAGTAGCCAGTAAAATAGTCAGGATCTTGGATGACTATGCTGCTGAACGCAAACAGGCTATTAATTCTTGTACCCGTGGCGTTCTGGAGATTCTCCCTTTTTTCTATATCTATAAGGATGGTTGCGAGGTTTGTACCAATCTCCTTTGGAATATCCTCTATTGTGATAATGTGCTTTCTGATCATGACTATAAAAGTATCGATGTTGGTTATAGTATTTGTTGTGGTCTCTATAGTCATTTTCTTTAATACTGTTTTCTTCTGCAACAACAGCATTCACATCTTGTCCAAAGAGGGAAGTACCATCAAAGGGCAAGTGTGAGATCTTCTCCTGGGTTTTCTTAGTGAGAGATGTAAGTCGGAGCCAGGCTTGTCTTCTGTAGTCTATTGCCATTGCCATAACTCTGACTACGGAATCCATTATGTCTCTAGTAGTACAAAGCTGCCAAAGTCCGGCATCCATACCATCAGATATTATACATCTTGCTTTTCCACGATCAAACTCTGGGTCATGAACAAGATCCTCCATATCTTCCCAGAGTTTACGCTGATATTGAGTCATATAGGCCATGTAGCTAGCAGCTCGGGCTGCAATGGAAGCAGCATGGTAGAATCTACAACCCATGACCTCCATTTCTTTTGAGGTAGAATCTAGAGGAGATGTTGTGCTTCCTCTTTTGCTGTGCTCTAATGCATCTACAATAGGGCCCTCAGCTGGTGGATTTGGTTGGAAAGGAGAGGTATCCTTGGCCACAGGATATACCCTGTGCCCCATGAAGGAAGAAGGATGGCAATCAGCAGGGTCTTTAAAAACCTCAGTGGTGGCAATTCTCAGAAGAGGATGCAATGGAGGAACCAAACGTTTCTTAGAGGTCACACAATCAGGTTTCCCTTCACATGATTCTGCTTCAGATTGTAATGTTACTCTCTTTATAACACCTCTCTGTTCCATTCTTTTCAAAAGACCTGTGAAACTAGACTGACTGGGGTCAGTTGGCTGCCCTTTGTCATCAGCTGAGGGGGATTTGCAGTCAGTTTCTTCATCAACTGTGGATAAATTTTCATCCTTAGAGGTGGAGATGTCCCATGGCACTGAGGAGTTCTCACTTGGCCTAGAATGATGAAATCTAAAACAGCTCCTAGACTGCAGATCACGTATCACTCGGGACATCTCAGCCACTTGTGTCTGAAGATAAAGGATGGCATCCTGTCCATGCTGTGAAGCTGAAGAAGACTCTATAGGTAAATCCTCCTTAACCTCTGAAGAGGCCAAAGATTGTTGGGGGACCAGAACTGGAGATGAAGGCAGAGTCTGAAAATTTTGTGATGGTTTAAGTGTCTCTGTCTCAGAGATCTTAATATCTGAATTATTTTGATCATTTTTCTGGTTCTCCAATGGGTTCTCAACAGAAGAAGGTTGAGAAACTATCCTTTGTGGACTGCTGGTGCAACTCCCAGAGGAGGAGCTGCTGTCTCCAATGGGAAGAGGAATACTGCAGCTAGAGCACATTTCTGGGCGATGATTCTCAGAGGATGGCACCTTAGACTCAGGCATTCTCTGGGTTATCCACATGAACAAGAAAACCAAGGAAGAAAAAAAAATGCTTTTAATATGTTAACTTTCAAGTGCAGAGATGCATGTCCAGTAAGTAGAACTCAATTTTTAAAATTACTATAACAACAATGAAAGATGCAATCCACTACAGATCAGCAAGGGGGATCAGAGAAGTCAAATCCACAAGGTTTCTACACAAAAACCTAACACCAACTATGGCTATTAATGTAGCACTCTGTCTACAAAAAAAAAAGTGAAAACAAGCCCAGTTCAAGTGGTGCCATCCTGGCCTGCTGCTTGGTCTCATGCTAGGATAAGAAGAGGTGGTGAGACTATTATTGATTAACAATCTTTTTTAAAAAATCCCATTCAATGTATGTAAGTCAACAAGTAAAAGCTAAAAAACAGAGAACTCAAGAAAAGTTCCACTGAGAACAAAAAATATTTCTAAAAGTTCCCATTGCAGAGTCACTTTTAAGCCCCTTTAAAATTTTCTCCTGTTCACTCTCCAAGAATAACAAAACTTCCCAGTTGCATAGTCCTACTTTAGTGTTTGTAGTTTCCAAGGAGCTTATTACATATGTGTTACCCTCATTTTGTCCTCACAACAACCCTGTGAGGTAGGTATTACCCTTATTTGATAAAGAAACTAAGGTTAAAGGTTTCTTAATTTATCCAAAATCACAGAATTAATAAGGAGCAAAGCTCATATTAAAACCTACATATATTGATTCCACGTCCAAGTCTCAATCCCCTGTATCATAGAGAAAGTTTTCTGGCCATGTTGAGAAGAGCCAGGAGTTCTCCAACCCATCAAGAAAATAGCCCATTAATAGAAATTTGGGCTAAGACAAATGAAAGACAAGATTGCTACAAAGGGCTCAGCTAGTTTGATTCTCAGAGTAAGGGAAATATTGGTTTAAGGGTCAAACCCACAACCAAAAAATCACAGGTAAGAGACAAAAACTATAAATATGGGAGGGATAGATGAGGTTAAAAGGAGTGACAACTGAAGTACCATGCCACCTAAACCCTTTCCTACATTCCATTTCCTAAAAGGTCTTCACATAGCCTTCCTTCCAATGTAAAACAAACTTTCTGTGGCCACGTGGTTCTGGAAGAAAAGAATCCAGTTATACATGGCACTTGAGGAGAGATGGGAAAGGAGAAGGGGAGAAGGGCACAAGGAGCCAAAACCTTGCAGTTTTTATTCCATTTTCCTTTTATCAGATACCATCTTCAAGGCTTAGAACTTTTCTGTGTTGTGTTATCCTTTCACATCCTCACTGAAAGTAAAGAAACAAAACTGGAAGTAGGAGATATTTTGGGCCAAGGACTCAATGGACACCTTTTGTGGTTCACTCTACAGAAACGGGCCATTCTCTAAAGTACTATAGATCCTAAAAACAACCATCATTGACTTGATAACTCTCTTTAGACAATGACTCTTAAATGACAGAAGTGAAAGAAATGCAAATCAAACATAATGTACTTACATCACTATGAGAGGTGCTAGGCTCTTCATCATCACTGCTGACCAGATCAATGTATTCAAGAACAGGTCTTAATGGTCCTTCCTATGAAAGAATTGAGCAAATTGACAAGTCACGTACAGTTATTCAAACTAAACTGGTCATTCAAAACAATCACTTTTTTCTTGGGATTGGCAAAAATTCCTCCAAACAAGAAGTCTACGGTTGGCAGAAAGTAATCAGAACACAGAAAAATATTCAGATACACAAATAAGAAACAGTAAGATCTGAGAGTTTAAAACCTTGGTAGAATATTAGGACAACGGTGATCCTTTGAGGAAAGGATTAAATAATAATAAAGGAAAACTGCTACAAGGATACAAATAGCAGACAGTATGATTCAATGCTTTTTAGATGGGATGAGTATTAATTATCTGTTAGATAACCAAGCTCAAAAACATGCAGTTCTTTGACTAACAGCTCAGCTTTACCTCTCACTCCTATAGTCAAACATCAAACCTGATTCTTCAACCTGTTTCCAACCATACTGACTGCATCACAGACTAGGCCTTGAATGCTTGGTCTAAAAATGCCCAGATTTTATTCTACAAGCAAAAGGGAATAAATACACAGATAGGAAAAACATGAGAGCTGTGCTTTAAATAGATTAATCACACAGACAAGTATGGAGAGTGGGGAAAGGAGGATAATTAATCAATCCAATAACACAAAACTAAAATAATGGCAAAGAGAATAGTGTTGTGGTACGCACTCAAGAGAATACATGGGTATTAAAAAAAAAAAAAAAAAAAAAAAAGACTGGCTATGAAAAACAGCCCCCTCGCCAAATAAAACAAAACCCCAACAATAACAAGGAATTAATTAAGTCCTTAAAGTTTCAAATCTGGGAACTAGGATACTAATGCCATCAGAATAATCTGGAATACAGAAATGGATGCTGACATTCTTTTAGACATAATGGGTTGATGTAACAGTGGTACACAAAGGTAACTGGCAGATAGCTGGGAATGCAGGGCTATAATCTGGATGTATGAACACAGCATAAACAGATTTGGGACTAAAGACTAAACTGAAACTGTGATAGAGCCAACAAAGAAAGCAAGGAGGAGAAAAAAGATTGAAGAAGGTTCTTGAGAAAATGCAGAATTTAGGACTCAGGAAGAACCGCTAAGCAGGAAATCAGGCATTAGAGAAGAATCAGGAATACATAAATTCAAAGCAGCTAGAGAAAACCTCAACAAAAAGTTTTCAATGCTAATGTGGCTCAAAATGCTGACAATCAAAGAAACTGCCACTGAATTTGACAAGATTTTTAAAAAACACCTGAGACCAACTTTTAATAAAGTGGCAAGCATACAGAAGCAAGGCTCTAAAAAATTAAGTAGAAAATGAAGCAATAGGGGCACCTGGCTGGCTCAGCCGGCAGAGCATGCAACCTCATCTTAGGGTTGTGAGTTCCGGCCCCGCACTGAGTAGAGATTACTAAAAATAAAATCTTAAAAAAGAAAAAGAAAAAGAGACAGTAAAGGCCATGAGTCAAGAATATTCTTTTTAAAAATCTAGTATGTTATGAACAAGAGTAAGGAACACAGGAGGCGAAGTCAGCTAAGGGAAAGATTTCTTAAGATGTAGAAAGCTGACTATTGGCAAACAGTGTAAAAACTAGCAGAAAAAGACTACAGTCAGGAAACAAAAGCTAAGATCTAGTTAAAGATCCTCTTCCTGAGAAGAGGCATCCAGTCTCAAAGATAACTTGTTTCTCTCTTAGGCTACAACTTCTCCCCAAGCAGAAAACTGCTATCCTTTAGGACAGGTTTTATCGAGCCACTAAGATAAAACCAGGGCAGGAATCATGTAATAAACAATTAAGATTTTCACCTGAGCTGTAAAAATGGAAGTTTAAAAGAAGGGGAAAACAGGGACAGAGTATTTTCCAATTATGGTCAAGAGAGATCAAGAGAGATCAATTACCTACTTTAAGACTAAAATCGACCAGAACTATGGTCAATATCATACATTCAATCCAAAAAGAAAGTGGAAGAAATAAAAATTTGGTAGCTTCTCCTGTTCATAAATCACCTTTAGTTTTTGTCTCTTCAAGAATGTGCATTTGAGGGGTACCTGGGTGGCTCAGTGGGTTAAAGCCTCTGCCTTCCGCTCAGGTCATGATCCCAGGATCCTGGGATGGAGCCCTGCATCAGGGGTCCTGGGATCAAGCCCTGCATCAGGCTCTCGGCTAGGTGGGGAGCCTGCTTCCCCCTCTCTGCCTGCCTCTCTGCCTACTTGTGATCTCTGTCAAATAAATAAATAAAATCTTAAAAAAAAAAAAAAAAGAAATGTGCATTTGAAACTCTTATTATGTCCATAGAACAGTACATCAAGAAAGTCTCCAGGTTATCAGAAATACACAGAGACAGAAGCAGAGAAAGCTTCCACGAAGAGATAGGGAAAAAGGGAGAAAAAAGAAGGTAACAGAATACAAAACCAAAAGAATGGGAAATAATAAACAAACGAGAAAACCCCCCCCTTGAAAAAAAAAACAAAAGAAAACAATAAGGAAAATGGTCACAAATGGGCTTTAAAAATAGCTGCAAAAATAGTAGAAAGGATAAGAACAGGGAATGATGACAGAAGACTATTAGAAATTTACTATAGGGGTGAACCATTAGACCACTAGACCATACGCAACCAACCATTTCTGAACTGCAGAAGAACAGTAGCTTTATATGATTCACACTAATTAAAAGAATAAAAAGAATCAAGACAGAAAATTCAAAAATGAGAAAAAGCGGAAGAGTCATTTAAAATACTTATTCACTCAACAATACTTGTGAAGTTATAAGTGAAAGAGTGGTAAAAGATGACAACACGTATTTGAGACCACCGAAAAGGCAGAGGCTGATTTAAAAAGCTAAGTAATCCCAAAGGAAAATATTACTTATAAGCAAACACTCTACACTTCGGCTAATTTTCATATTGAATATGGGAAAAGTTCCACCATAATGACTTAAAGAACTAAAACATTTTAGTATTCCATTTATTTTACTATTAATAACATTTATCACAGAGCCCTATATAGGCACTGTGCTGAACTTTTCAACACTATTTCATTTAATCTCCAATTACAAGGTGAAATAGTGTATTGTTGCTATTATTCCACTTAACAAATGAGAAAACTAAGTGAGGTACACCTGATTCTCTATATACTTAACTGGCTGTGTGGTCATAATAATTCTGAGGCTAAGTTCAAAGTATACATACTACTACTGGGGGCGGTGGCTGGGTGGCTCAGTTGATTAGGAGTCTGCCTTCAGCTCAGGTCCTGATCCCAGGGTCCTGCCAAGCCCCCCACTGGGCTCTCAGGGAGCCTGTTTCTCCCTCTCCCTCTCCCTCTGCCTGATGCTCCCCCTGCTTGCATGCTCTTTGTCAAATAAATAAAATCTTTAAAAACAAAACAAAACAAAATTTTTTTAAAGATTTTTTTTTCTTTTTTTTTAATTTTATTTTTTATAAACATATATTTTTTTCCCCAGGGGTACAGGTCTGTGAATCGCCAGGTTTACACACTTCACTGCACTCACCATAGCACATACCCTCCCCAATGTCCATAATAACCCCACCCCCCCACCCAACACCCCTCCCCCCAGCAACCCTCAGTTTGTTTTGTGAGATTAAGAGTCACTTATGGTTTATCTCCCTACCAATCCCATCTTGCTTCATTTACTCTTCTCCTACCCCCTTAACCCCCATGTTGCATAAAGATTTTATTTTTAAGAAATCCCTACACCCAACATGGGGCTCAAACTCACACCCCCAAGATCAAGAGTCACATGCTCTACTAACTGAGCCAGCCAGGCAACCCTACATACTACTTTTATATATCAATGTCTTATTACCTAAGTTTCTGAGAAATACTCTGTATTCCTTCAATGAGACTTCTCACTATTGTACCCACCTCTGAATAATTCGTAACACTAACCAAAAAATAAGTTCTTAATATCCCCAAAAGAATGTTAATTATATAAATGTCAAACATGATTTCTTAAAATGTTTATAATGATGTTTATGTTCTTAACACATATAAATGCATGTAGTTCTGCAATTAAAGGTATTTTATTTGAAGCTGCTCCATCCAACAAACAGTAAACCATCACTCTCATCCCTTTTGTACCAATATCAAAATCAAAGGATGCTACTCCCCAAGACCATAGAATTAGGGCAAGGAGCACAAGTACAAGCAAAATAATTTAGGAACAGAGCTGAATTAATATTTTCAGTTAAATAAAATTTTTTAGGGGCACCTGGGTGGCTGAGTGGATTAAGCCTCTGCCTTCGGCTCAGGTCATGATCTAAAGAGTCCTGGAATCGGACCCTGCATGGGCTCTCTGCTCAGCAGGGAGCCTACTTCCCTCCATCTCTCACTCTCTGCCTACTTGTGATCTCTGTCAAATAAATAAATAAATCAATAAATCTTTTTTTTTTTTTTAGGCAGACAGATCACAAGTAGGCAGAGAGGCAGGCAGAGAGAGAGGAGGAGGAGGCAGGCTCCCTGCTGAGCAGGGAGCCCGATGTGCGGGCTCGATCCCAGGACCCTAGGATCATGACCTGAGCCGAAGGCAGAGGCTTTAACCACTAAGCCACCCAGGCGCCCCAATAAATAAAATCTTAAAAAAAAAAAAATTTTTTTTAATGACACAAAAAGCTTTCATTCCTGTTATCAGGAAAATGATTTTCATATAAAGCCAGACACCAATTAACTGTTACAGTTGACCTTTGACGAACATCAGGTTATGGGCTCTGAACTTCCCTCTTACCACATAGAATTGAAAATCTACATATAACTTTTGATTCCCCCAAAATAAAACTACTAAAAGCCTACACTTGACTGGAAGCCTTATCAATAACATAAACAGTTGAGTAACACATATTTTGCAAGTTGTATGTATTATATACTATATTCTTATAATAAAGCCAAACAAAATCATAAGGAAAATACTTTTACAGTACTGTAAAAAAATCTTATCTGCATATAAGACCCATGCAATTCAAACTTGTGTTGCTCAAGGGTCAAGCCTAAATGGAAAATAATGTCAATACACTAAGACACAGTCTACAAGAAATGTAGTTTACCCCAGTCTAAAACAAAAACTACATATATGAGCATAGATGCACAACTCTAACCTAAAACCTTAAATATAATGCATGTGGTTTTTTTTTATATATTTCCATATATAGAAGTTAGGGATATAATTTACTTCTGTAGTCCTGCCCAGTTCAAACATTTTGAATGATTCCCAACTGACTACTTTAAGTTCAAATTTAGTCTACAGTTCAAGATCTACACTATCCAGTCCACCCTTTCCTCTTCTACTTAAAAAATTTTTATCCTCCAGAATTACACATAATCCTCTGCTTTCCCAATTTGATGTCTTCCCTTATTTCTTTTCAAAATGCTCTTTTAAATACAAATACTACATGTTATTTATGCCAAAAGTCTATTTTTTTAAATAGCACCATGTACTTTTATAAAAGAACTACTTTCTAATAGAACTATTTACAGTTTTCATCACCTATCTTATCACCCACACGGAAATATGGACACTTATAGGTAGGACGTATTTCCAATTAATCTCTGCAGTTCTTGAGTACTTACTTATGACTTTGCATATCAAAAACTGCAACATTATTTTCATTTATTGACCTATAGGCCCAAGACACCCAGCCAGAAGATACCTTGGTATTTTTGCTCATGACCCCTTTCTACTGTAAAGTATTACCATTTCACCTACGTGCTTCTGAAGTTACTTATGAAATTATACTTTTTCCTCACTATTTCTACATGCTCAATGATTTCACATCATACCGATAACCTTGGCTGAAACCTAAATCTCATGTGTTATTACCAAGATTACAATAGGTTGCCTCAGCAGTTTTCACACCTTTGTATCTCAAGTAGAACGGTGAAAATGTCATCAGCTCTTAGCTAAAATAGTTTTTTGAGAACAAATTAAAATATCTGCAGTTTTAAAGACAAAAAGATGGTGGCTGAATAAGGAATTAGACAAGTATTCTCGCTCTCGGAAAGCTTGCGTTCACACTACTTCACTTTAACAAATAACCTACATTAGTACCCATTTTCACTTACTGAAGGAAATTTTTTTTTTAAATATTTTATTTATTTGACAGACAGAGATCACAAGTAGGTGGGGGTTGGGGGTAGCAAGCTCCCTACCGAGCACAGAGCCCAGTGTGGGGCTGGATCCCAGGACCCTGGGATCACGACCCCAGCAGAAGGCAGAGGCTTTAACCCACTTAGCCACCCAGGCGCCCCTGAAGGAAATCTTAAGAGATTTTTGCTTATACAAAAAAAGGTGAAAAGCCAAACTACTGCACAGTGTTTGTCTCAATGCAAGCCATTATAGAGGTAGCATGCACCCTAAGCAACAAGAGTAGCACAGCCAAGCTCCTTCCCTGGGAGCTAAACTCAGCATCTCACTGCGACAGCTTTGAATTATCTGCAAGTACCTGTACAGTATATCTTGATTTATTTTGTGCAACTGTTAGCAAGATGTCCTAAGGTAGCAAAACAGCCTAAAAGAGGTTATTTTTTTGGTCTGGAAATGCTAAAAATTTTCCCATATAAATTAATGATAATTACTACTACACTTTATGCCATCTTAGTTTATGAAAGATTTCATAGGTTTCAAAGGTTTCTACTTTACATTAGTGGGGTGTGGGACGAGGGGTGGGTGGAGACATATCTATATTACTAAACTAAACAGAAAACGAGAGCAAAATCTTTAAGTAAGTTTCTGTTACGGTAACATTCATTTGAGGTTACTGACTTTGCAAAATCAAAGAGCACACTTACAAACAGGGTGGTTCTCTATACATACATTTCAACAAAATTTAAACGAAAGAACTCATTTTTGCACCTCCACATCTGTATTGCTTTCCTTTAACATGCTATTTGGTTCCAGACTTTGTATTTTGCAAACCACATAAACGCTGCTGTGCCACCATGTGGATTAAAGATGGGAAAATTAGATTAATGGGCATGAACTAAGAAATTCAAACTAGAGTAAATCAAAAAGTCACGCCATTAATGCCATTTTTGTATCTGAAGAAATCTTATGCAGAGAACAATGTTATTGTTACTGGATAAGCATTACCCGAAGGAGTCAAGTATAAGATCAGCTTACAGAAAGAAGTAGAAGGCTCTGTCTCTGAATTTATTGTGAAACAGAATTAAGGTTTCATTAATTATCATTTAAGTGTTATCACTAAATTTTTGGAAGAAATGTTATTAACAGGTTTCTTCTAGTATTGTAATTGTACTTATTACATATAATTTACATCTTCATTTCCACTATCAGAACTTTGAACCTTTATTTGCCAACCCCTAAGGAAAAACAGAAGATGTTGGATCTAGATGAATACACAAGACATTGACTGTATTATTTTTTATTCTTCATGCAAAGATATATAGATCCTCTACATACAAAATTTAAATTAAAAGATATTTAAAAAATAATTAAGAATATTTTAAACTTCAGCTTAGTACCTTACTACGCTTGTTAATCACAAGTTATAATTTTTCATTCCACCAGTACCAAAAAAAGGTTTTCAAATCTTATTAATTCTATCTGTAATTCTCAAGCAAGGCCCATAGTTTAGAAAGTATATACTTCTATTATTTGCACAAAATATAAAGATAAATATTCTCCAAATATACCAATATTCAGAAACCTGAAATATTTGCCTAAGGAGCATGGAATGCCATTACCAACATACTTTAGTCCACAGTAAAGAAGGAGAAGGATACAATCCGATTTACCCGCATCCCAGAAATCCTTGTAAGTTTAAAATGAGGACAGAGAACAGGTGAAGCTAATATAACAGTGAATGTTAACTATACTGAAATTGAAATAAAAGGACAAAGCACAGTAAACGCTGGCAATGGTGAGGAAAGCCCCCCCCCCCAATCATGTAAAAGACTCCTATAGAAATCCATTAAACTGCAATATGACAATGGATCACCACAATGGCCCTAATGCTCGGGTATGTAGAGGATACCATTTAATAACCACCTTTACAAACTGCCCCAAATCAATAAACACAAATACACATCCAACACTCTATTAAAGAAAAATTATACAACTCTGACAGCAAACCTCAACTAATCACTGGTTTGTAGAAGTTTCTGACTAGCTACCACTTTAAACAGACCCTTTGCAAAACTTTAGTTTTGGGTGAAAACCATCCCCCAATACATCATGACCCCAGTTCCCCTAAACCAAGGCTTTACAAAGCATGGCCCACAGAGTCACATGTCCTTTTGTTTGTTCCAAAGTGAAGATTCCTGGGTCCCACCTTCAAATTCTGATTCAGCAGCTGTGGTGTGAGGCCCAGAAATCTGCACTTACACATCCTAACGCTCAGAGACCACTGTCCCAAAGGGAAGACAGCCTGAAAACCACGTGTGTTCCTGGTGATGCAGGGTCTTCATTATGAACGTCAACTCCTGCATTATGCTGTAACGTGGTGATCTCAGAGGTTGGAGAAGTCTTCAAGCTACCTGCCTTCGCGTTAGGAAGCTCCAGAACGCTCCCACTTTGAGTGCTTGCAACCCTTCTTGCTTTCTCCGGTCCCTTCCCTCTAACCTGCAGGTCGTGTTTCAAAGGACACTCTTGCCCCGCTTCCATACACACTCTTAAGAGCGCACGACTTTGCCCACACGAAGTCTAAAGTGGCGCTAATGAAGGCATAAGAAGCGTGATTCCATGTGCAACATGTCCTTTCGGGCACAGTCCTTGTGGTGGCCCCTGCAGGTGCTCGGAGACCCCTTTCGGTAAATTTCCTCATCCTGTGCCATACTCCCCAGTGCCCAGTACCTGCGAGACATCCACACCCAGCTGCTGAATGACGAACGGACAGGCGAGGTATCATCATCACAGAACGGCTTACCGCGCATAGGTTTGGGATTCTGGGAAACACCCGAATTTCGTTGCTACTTACACTGACAAACTGAATGTCATCTTCATTTTCATCCGGCGTTGCCTCAGATGCCTCAGGCCCAGCTGGAGGGACAGACTCTATCATCTATAAAAATAAGCCAGAATATGCTTATCTACATACAGCCACGTACCTGGAGGAAGAGATTCTTCCCAAAAAGAACGAAAAAGGAAGAGCTCCCTAAGACACACAGCAAGCTCTCGAGGAAACCGAACTGAGCACAACTGCATGCAAATCCCACCAAGAACAGGGCTCGATGGAGTCGGGCTCTGCCTCTGCAGACGTGGAGCCATCCACAGGGAGGGGCGCCGAAAACGACTTACCAGCCCCTGCGAATTCCCCAAATCTCCTCAAGGAGGAGGGAGGCACGCACACCGCCGAGGAGCGAGCCTGTCTCAAAATGTCGCTCTCGCGGCCCGAGCAGCGGCAACAGGGACCTCCGTGGCCGGCGCACAGGGCCGGGGGCGGCCGGGCGGCCATTGTTACTGCTGGTTCCCCGCTCACACCCGCACCAGGCCCGAACGCGGACGCGCTCGGCCCGAGACGCGGACACTCTCGGCCCGCGGCGGCGGCGGGCGCCGCGCACCAGGCCTCACTCTCAACAAAACACAAAGCCCTTCCTGGCTCGCCTGAGAATGCCGCGGCCCAACGCTCGCCCACTCACCTCCGACCCCGGGTCTCCCATTTCTCCGACGGCCTAACTGACAGCACCACCGCTCCTGCGGTCCCCGCCGCCGCCGCCGCCGTCGCTGCCGTTCCCGCTGCCGCCGCCGCCACGACTTCCCTTCCCGCCCAGCACCGCTTCGCGCCGCCGTGACCCGCCCCTGCGTGAGCGCAGACGCCGCCGACGCCGCCGACGCCGCCGACGCCACCGACGCCGCGGGCGGAAAGAAGTGCGAAACCGCTTCAAAAGGAGGAGCGACCGGCTCTGGGCCGCTATCCCCCGGAGCCTCTGTCTCGCAATCCGGGCCTGCCTTCCCCGGGCCGCGCGGGAAGCCGGGAGTTGTAGTTCTGGTTGTTCCTGTGACTGTCCGATTTCGGTTGAAAAGAGAGGAAAAGGACTCCAAAGTATGGCGCATGCGTTTTACGGGGCTGACGTCAGCTGCAGCTTTGCAGAGCCGTGGGCAGCCAGGGTTCTGTTTTATAGTGAAGGGCAGGAACGAGGTTGTGTGGGGGATTTGGAATTGGATATTGTGTGGGTGTGGAAGCGAAGCTCAGCGGTATGTTTTGGCCGTAAATGCGGATGATGGGGACCAAATTCTCATCGTCTTCCTTTTTTTTTTTTTTTGGTAGCGGGCCTGGAATGAGGAGGCTTAGTTGAATTTTGTGATAAGGAAAGAAATAGAAGGTGTCCTTATGTTACCCACCTAGCTTCATTGTCTGAGATAGTATGTATTAATACACCTGAGAAGAAAAATTGAAGACCAGACCGCTAGTCACCGGTTGTCCTGAAGAAAACTGGCGAAGCAAGGGAGTCCAGGGCCCAAGACGACACTGGGCCAAGGCCTCACTATCACTAAGCCCTACACTAGTGGAAATAACGTGCTGTTTAAGGATAGTCTCAAATACTACTTTATAAAAATAGCTTACCTTTTTTCAGTGTTCACAGCCAAAAAGCACTCTATAAAAATAGTTCACTCATGTTCACCTGTGTGGTTTTTCACTCTATTGTCTTACCAAAAAGATCTGGCCTTTTTTTTTTTTTTTCCCACACCAACAGTTTTGAAAAGGACCTTTTAAGTTGGAAAATTCTTTTAAATCTTATGAGCTTGTTTTTGCCTGTCTATATGCAAATCTACCATTTGAGTGTTTATGCCTATAGTAATTTTCCTTAATTCTTGGTATTTCATGCATTTCCAGCGAGTGCTTTATGATTTCATTTGCTTTTCCACCTAAGTTTGAGAATTCTAGGAGCAAACTGAGAATGAGAGACCAGTTAGAGGTAGGAGTTAATTGGTAAAACTCTTGGAAAACAAACTTTGTATGGCTGGAGCCCCCAAATACTCATACTCTTCAATTCAGTTGTCATTGCAAGCTTTTTAAGGACACACATTAATCTGTAGGAAAATTTTTATGCAAATTATTATTTATCACAGATTTTTCTGTAGTAGAAAAATAGGAAAACATTTGAATGTCTAGTGATTGGGAAATGAAATGGTTAAGACATGGTATGTACTCTATACTCTTGAATGTTTTTATTTCCATTGAAAATGTTTAGCTAAAATTTCTAAAATCCTGTTTTTCAAAAATGCAAGATAATATGATCAGAACGATGTCAAACCACCAAGCCATGCTGAAATAGAAAAACTAGCTATACAATAATAGTAATTTTCTTTGGGTAGGTGAACCTACCTAATTTTGGTTGGGTAGGTTCATAAGAAAATCCTGTGAAACCCACTAACAGATTATTAGAGACATGTCTATAGTTACCACAAAACCAGGTTTATTTACCTCCGTGTAGCAAAGGAGAAAAAAAACATACAGCTTAGGAGTCTCTCAGTTTGAGGAAATTAAGAAGAGATTGGGATGGGTGATGTTAAGGCCAATGAATAAAGGAGGAAACTGGTTAGATTAGAAAGAAGTAGAGTTGTTTGCTGATTGGTTCAGGGTTCAAAATGGAGACTTTTTAAGTACATGGAAATTTTTTGTGTGACTGAAGAGATTTTTTTGGGGGGGGCCATGGACCCATTATTTTGCTTTATAAGTTAAAACTGTGAAGAGAGCCCATCACTGGACTTGATATCTCCTCTAATTTAGTTCCTAGACTGTGTCCTAAGTAACATCATAATAGATTTCTAGATATACGTCAGTGATACTATGTTGATACTACTCTTTCAACTCACCATGTAACAGAGAAGTATAGGCTTTGACTTTAGTTTTGTTTTCATTAGTTTTCTATTGACTTGCTTTTTTTTGTTCAATGTTTATTCATAGAACCATCTGTCTGAACATCGGCTGCACAGCAGCAGCATTTAAGATTCCGGAGACCTGGTTCATTACTAAGAGAATGCCACCAAGAGGCAATTTAATGCATCAGAAGGGCTCAAACCCTCAATGAGAATTATTATCTAAGATTGTCATAAATCTAAAAAAAGGGGGAAAGAGCACTAACCTGTAATTTACTTAAGGAGAATTCAACTTCGGCAAAAGAATTCATATACACACAGCACCAAATCTTAATATGCTTTAGCAAAAGTACAAATACATCCAATGCAATTCTATTATTAAGAACCATATTTGGTTTAGATTAAATGCTCTGGTTTTAAGACCTGGCAACTGGAATAGCCTCTTCAACAATTTCTAATAAATTGATTTATAGGCATTTATTCCAAAACAATATTCTTCAGGGAAGAAGATGGTTCTTAGGATAATATGGAACCGTTGACATGATCATTTTCTGGGAGTTATGGGAGCAGAACAAAAAGCATTTGGTTCTGAAAGAGTATAAAAGACTAACCCATAGGTCTATAAGGGCATTTTCATTGCACATAAGGAAAAGAAGCCTGTTGGAGGGGACAGATGAGGGTGGTTAATTTCTGTGGTTAAATCAGAAGTGCAAGCCTCTTTTCATATTAGAGCATGCTGTAATAAATACTTTAGAATATCAACATTTTCTCCTTCAACCAATGATATATTTGCCTGTATGAGTAAACTGGAGAGTAGTTTTTAGTGCCATTATTACACATTTTGAGTAATTTTCAAAACTTCCTTTGCCCTTTCTAGAAAAACTTTGAGAATTATCATTTACTGTATTTGCATTGTAGTAACATTATTTGTCCATGAAAAGCCACCGAACAAAACTTTTGAGGTTCAGCTTGTAGTGGGTCACAAGAGGTTATTTATTTATTTATATTAACATATAATGTATTATTTGCCCCAGGGGTACAGGTCTGTGAATTGTCAGACTTACACATTTCACAGCATTCACCATATCACATACCCTCCCCAATGTCCATAATCGAACCACCCTCTCCATACTCTACCTCCCTCCAGCAACCTCCAGTTTGTTTTGTGAGATTAAGAGTCTCTTATGGTTTGTCTCTCTCCCGATCCCATCTTGTTTCACTTTTTCCTTCCCTACCCCTCAAACCCCACACTATGCCTCTCGAATTCCTCATATCAGGGAGATCATATGATAATTGTCTTTCTCTGATTGACTTATTTTGCTCAGCATTATACCCTCTAGTTCCATC